CATTGACATTTTGACCATTTTTAGTTATTTTATTAAAGATAAGAGTGCAACTGAACCATTTTCAGGCAATGTGTAGTACAACCGACTTATGAATGTTATTTTATCGAGAATTTTTAACAGATCCTAACGAAATTTAGTATATTTAGATTTCTTGGACAATTAGCTTGCATGAGCCCTAAAATGAGCAAAATCGATCAATTAGTTTAGAAATGGCGGCCATTGAAAATTTTCAAAATAGTGAAAATCATGTTTTTGGCCACTTCATTGATGTATAACTTTTGATTGCACAGAGATAATTAATTTTTGAAAATTTCATGTAATAGCTCATGAAATTACCTTTAATTTGACGTATATAACATCAACATTTTGACCATTTTTAGTTATTTTATCAAAGTTAAGAGTGCAACTGAACCATTTTCAGGCAATGAGTAGTACAACCGACTTATGTACGTCATTCTATCAAGAATTTCATTCAGTGAAATCTACCTTCCATTTCGGGTGTGGCCGAATGGCGTTTTTTTAATATTACTTTCAAATTCTAAATTATTAAATTTTATAGGCTTATTATTATGACTCCTAGTTTTATATGAACTCACTGCTCCAAAACTATTAGCCAATTCTTCAAGCCAATTTGACACCAGGTATTGGACTTTGATAGTGATGAGCCTTGGGGTGCATACCCGGCTCATTAATTGTACTACTTCTCATTCATTAATTCATTTTTGGATAATTCAATTGTTTAACAATAACTTGCTTAGTAACAATGAATTATTTAATTGATTTAATTTGTTAAATTCAGTGTGTAGCATTCGTTAGCGTTGTGAGCATTCTTCTTGGGGATTTTATACCCGAGGAATGTTCTAGACCTCTTGGGTTTGCAAGTCGTGAATAATTAATTTTATTAATACAGCTGGTTAATAATTATTAACATCTTAGATTGGTTTAAATAAATCTATTTTATATTAATTAAATTCTGAACATCGAGAAGGTTCCAACCGACACGACATAGTATTCGGTACCCAAGGTCAAAACGTGCTACGCAGTTACGAACGCCGGCGTCCATTTTTGGCGTGCAAATTCCTTGTGAATCTTACTACGCAGTAAATTGTAAAATTAACATTTGGACTATTATTATAAATTACAACAATTGAATTATCATTAATCGTCATTATTTGACATATTTAATTACTAGAAAATATTTATTCAACATGATATTAATTATTGAGAATTAATTTGCTAAATCTTGGCGCAGATAAGACTGATATACCCGTAGATAAACTTTAGGCAAGTAATTTTTATATTGAGGAAATTATTAATTAACGAACTAATTTAATTGCCAATTTCTACTTGGGTTGTCTTTATATGTGTTAAACTCATGTTCAGGAAAATTTTGTCAATAATTTAACATCGTTATTCCGGTAAAATTCTTTGTAAAACTATTTATCAGTGTGGATTACGTCCGAGAAAAGTTAGTTAATTTTATAAAGAATACTCTTAGAATTTATTTAATGTGCTGAGATAAACTCGTGTTAATTTTGCAAGAAGTTTAGGCGTCGATTTTAAGTCGGAGTTATCGGTGAATTTATTTTTATTAACAGTGGAAATTGTTTATGATTTTAATTGCGAGCTAATGACTGAATAGTTTAGTAAAAATTAATGTAGTTAATTTTGGAAGTAAATTTTGTAATAATTTTTATTAGTCAAAAAGTAAAGTAGAGTCAGTGTGTGTGTGTGAGCGTGGGTAATGTGTCTGAAGAAGTGTGGGGTATGTGTGTGAGCTGCAGAGGCTTCTTGGTTTACGTTGCAGTCACTAGGCTGTTGCTTCTGTAGTAAGGCGTTGTTGATATGCCCTCGTGCACTGATGTCTTTGTACGAGGTGTCTTGTTGATAGCTAGAAGTAAGTCAGTAGGGGAGAGGTGCTGCAATTGTAACAAAAATTTTTATTTTTTTTATTCCATTTGCTTTTTTCAAGATAGTAAACTTAAAAACTGTCAGAAAGTTAGTTGGTAGTATCTTTTATGTGACTGACTTAGTTAATTAGTAAAAGTCATTGTTAACTTATTAAAAATTAAATTTATTTAACTAAAGTCAGGGACCAAGATGGCGGTGCGCATGGGTTGCAATTGTAACACAGTGCAGGGGCAATTGTAACACGGGACGAAATAGATATTTTTCATCAAATTGCTTTTATTATATAGTCTTAAAACGTACTATACTTCATTAACTCTTAAAGTCAAATATTTAAACTTATAGTATCATATATTTGGATCGTTAATATAAATTACACCGGCACACAAAAAAATTTAAGTAGAATGTGCATTTGACCGGACCTACCTACGGGTACGTATTTTGGTCCGCTGAATCCGAATTCGAGGTCAGTTTGACCCCTACACCCTCAAAATTTCGAGAAAACATCGAAAAACCGTAAAAATTATGAAAATCGGCAGTTTTAATGATAAAAAAATTTTTTGGAACTAAACTAAGCGTGATTTTCAAGTATTTCGATCCGCTGAATATAAATCGAAACTTTATTGAGACCACGAGCCATTTTAAATGTAAAAAAATCACACAAACCCTTCAAAATTCCGAAGAAAATAATTTTTTTGGTTTTTTTACTCTCGTTTTTTACTTTTGTTTGGCATAAAATATAAAGCAAAATCGTGAAGCGTTCCACATTTTTTAACAAATATAAATAATGCTGTGAAGCGGGAAAGAATAGGAGTTACGGATAATTATTACGTGAAGCGTTCCAACATTCACGTAACAGGATAATTGGTAGGAAAGGATTGAGAAAGGATTATGGAGAGGAACTTCTCAATGTAAGTGTATAGAATATGCGAGAAAAA